ATGTTTTAAGGAAACGCATACTTGAATTGTTACATGAGGGACACCCGGGTATTGTAAAAATGAAATCCCTGGCAAGAAGTTATGCATGGTGGCCAAGGATGGATAAGGAAATAGGGGACTGGGTGGCAATGTGTAAACGCTGCCAGGAATCAAGGCCAACACCCCCCACAGCACCAACACACGAATGGGAAACACCAAGGGGACCATGGTCAAGGCTACACATTGATTTTGCAGGCCCAACCAAAGGACATACATTTTTAATAGTTGTAGACGCTTACTCCAAATGGCTAGAGGTAAGCATCATGCACTCCACCACAACAGAAGCCGTCATTAGACAGCTCAGGAAACTTTTTGCAACACATCGATTGCCAGATATAATTGTATCCAACAATGGGCCACAATTCACGGCAACAACATTTGAGGAGTTTTTAGCACAACATGGGATAAGGCACGCACTGACAGCACATGGACACCCAGCCACGAATGGATGGGCGGAATGCATGGTACGTTACACGAAGGAGACATTACAAAAGCTGGGGCCTGGGGACACACAAGAAAAGATAAATAAGCTACTAAGCATCCAGCACATGACACCCAGTGCCACAACAAATAAAAGTCCAGCAGAGTTACTAATGAGGAGGAAACTAAGATCACACCTAGACAGACAACACCCCACATATAGCCCAGAAAAACCAGCAGACTCTTCCAATAATTGCCGCACATTTCAAACAGGGGACCCAGTATACGCAAAAAACCTCACGGGGGAACCATGGTGGATACCAGCAAAAGTGACCCAGATAACCAGACCCTGTTCATACAGGGTAGACACCAAGGACGGGAGGAGCTGGAGGAGACACATAGACCAGCTCAGAGCTAGAGCCACGAAAGGAAACCTAAACAGACCCACAGAAGAGGGGGGAGACCCCTCAAGCAAACAAAAGAAACACAGGGAAGAGGGGAGAGACCCCTCAAGCAAACAAAACACAACCAGAGAAGAGGGGGGAGACCCCTCAAACAGACAAAACACAAGTAAAAAGGGAGGGGAGACCTTCCACGAACAAGAGAAATAACAGAACAAGCCCTGACAACTACTCAACCACTATTAACACTAGCCCTGGTCGGGAAATGCAAACACATTCCTGAGCCCAGGGAAGAAGGCAGGTCGGGGAGACAGGAACAGGTCCAGAAAGATAGCTGGGAAGCAGTCCCTGGTGGGAGCGGCTGGGCCAACTCAACCAGCCAGGAAATTCTTGGTGGGAGCGGCATGGCTGACTCAACCTTCCAGGAGCTTCCAAGAAGATGGAGGGAAGGAACAACAGATCCATTTGAACAATCCAGAGTTGCACAGGTCCAGTCGTATCCATAAAAGCCCTGCCTACCTACGTGATTACGTATGGTAGGCAAGGCTCAGATTGGTTGGACTGGACCAGTTAGGGAGGGGTGTTATGTATTAGCATACTTACCTCCAATTGGTCAGTCCGTGGTGGCGGGAATTTTGAAGAGCTGTCACTGGCCACAGCCGCGAGCAGCCCGACTATAAAAAGGGCTGCCGCAGTTTCTTTGGCGCTCAGTCCTATATGTAAGTAAAACAGATTGGAATCATGCTGTTGTCCTGAGTCTCATTCCCGCGACTTAACAGTTAGTATGGAAAAGAACTTGTATTTATTATACTGCTCTGTGTTTAGTCTAGAATTAGCTGGCAAGGCAATTCAGCCCCACACAAAAAATATAGTAGAGAGATTGACACATAATCCTTTTACAGACACCCAATATTTTAAAGCAGTGTTTTTGAAACCTGGCAACTTGTGTGGACTTCAGCTCCCAATATTCCCAGCTTTTCTTTTTTTAAAGGTAAGGTTAAGGTAAAGTAAGGTGAGATGAATCCAGTAATTTGGATTGCAAGAATTTATGTTAACAACAGTAAGCGAGGAGAAGAAACAAGTGCAGCTTGGCATACTTGCTGATGATAAATTTCAGAAATCCAGATGCAAAATTAATATGTGATTCATACCTTCACTAGTTTGCTGCATGTACAGTGTGTGTATCTGTGCTTTTGAAACGAGAAAGACTTTAGATCTGATTTTTGCAAATATAAATGCAGTTTACAAATGATATAGGGAGCTAAGTAACTCCTTACCTGCTCATGCTGCCAGAGAAGACATTGAAAAGAAAGAAATATACCCAAAGGTTGATCTGTCACTGGAGCTGAAAGTGATTAACAGACCCTGAACTTCAAAATAGAAATAGTGTTTGCAGCATGGTTTGCTTCTAAGTTTCCTCCTAAGTTTTCTCATTATCTGCTGAGAAAGGAAGATTGCAGCGGCACTGTATTAAATGTAACTTGGCCCGATGCAATAATTCTTAAATAAGCGGGCCCTTCACTCTTGACAATTTTTGCCAAGTTAACCAACCCTGTTTCATAAACCTCCGTGCGCATACATGTTTTAAAGATTAATTATTACCATCAGATCAGTGTCAAATGTTAGTGGCCAGATAGACTTTCTCCATGCATATTTTATAGAACGGGCCTAGAAAACAAAGTTGCTGAATAAACAGCTGCATCATAATGAAGGAAAGGCCATTATAAACTTATTTAGTTTTATTTATCAAATTTATTGGCTGCCCAATGTACTCCGGGGTAATTCTGGGCAGCTTAGAATGTTAAAAAGTAAATATATGTAAATGAAATACTACAAGAACTATAAAAATACAAAATATAAAATATCACTTTAGCAGAGGTGGTATTCGCAGGTTCCAACCAGTTCTGCAGAACTGGTAGCGGAAATTTTTAGTAGTTCAGAGAACTGGCAAATACCACCTGTGACTGGAGATTTTACAGTTATCCTCCCCCTTCCACGCCCACCAAGCCACGCCCACCGAAACAGTAGTAAAAAAATTTGAATCCCACCACTGCACTTCAGATCTGTTATACAAGTAGTCCTTGACTTACAAACAGTTCATTTAATGACTCTTCAAAGTTACAACACCACTGGAAAAAAGTGACTTGTGAATGGTTTTCACACTTATGACCATTGCAGTAGCCTCCTGATTATGTGATCAAAAGTCAGACACTTGGCAACTGACTCAGATTTATGACGGCTGCAGTAACCCTAACCTTATATGATCTTAACAAGCAAAGTCAAGGGAGCAGCCAGATTCACTTAACAACCATGTTACAGTGATTCACTTAAAACAGTGGCAAGAAAGGTGATAAAATGAGGCAATATTCACTTAGCAAATGTTTCACTTGGCCACAGAAATTTTGGGCTCAATTGTAGTTGTACGTTGAGAACTACCTGCACTGGAGGAGGTTATCTTAAATTATCATTTCTCTTGGATGACATCTATCTAATATCAAACCTCATTCAATCCTACTGTGCAGAAGTGTCATGCCCCTGTCGGAAGCTGATTCAGAGGGGAAGGCCTAGCAGGCAGCTTAATACTTGTAACAGGGATTGGGAGTGTGTCTCCGTTGGCTGTGGAAGAAACTGAAGGGCAAAGGTCGGCTGGGCAGAGCAGGGGAGAGGTACCGCAAGGGAGATGGAATTCGGAGGAAGACCCAGGCCCACCCCCTCTTCATCCTAGGGCATGCAGGGAGGAACGGAGAAGGGAGCAACGTGAGTTGCGTGGCTTGCAGGGAAGGAAAGGGCCCCGATTCCCTTCATTAGCTGCAGCTGGGAACACTGTGTTTAAAAAGGGAAGCTGTGCACAGCAAATTTGTTGGGAGCAACTCATGAATTATCTGGTATCATCGAGGGTTATCTGGGTTCCTGGCGTCTTCCCAATTGTGTGTGTTTTGCTGGGGTTTCAAGTCTGCAATTCCTTCTCCTGCCCTGTCAAGTTAATTACTGCAATGTGGTTTGTGTGGATTTTTCTTTACAATTTGTATGTACTTTGTTTTCGGGCTGAATTTCCTCCACTTAAAGACTGTTTTTGGGAGAGTTCTTTTCTCCTGCCGAAGGTAACCTGGATATTGGGAGCAAAGTTGGAGATACTAAAGGGACACTTCTTGCTTATTTGACTGTGTTGCCTTTGTGCCACACCCCGGGTCATCACAAGAAGTGATTATGTCATTTCGCAATCTATTATTGGAAACATTCACCCAGCAATATTGGAGTGTTTGCAATCCAACCAGAATTCATTCATTAAGTCTTCTATTTGCTGGAATGCTAATAAATGGAAAGAAAAGGTAGAAAACATTCTCCCAATAAAACCAAGTGACATCCTTCCACTCTGGCCTTCCAGCTCAAGCAGACTTAAATTGATGAGAAAAGGTGCCAGGGAACAAGAAGTCAAGAAATGAAACAACTCCACTTCTCTTCTTCCAGGATTCCAAGTACATGATGGATCTTCTATGAAATCTGAACAGGCAGCTTAATACTTGTAACAGATTTTAGGCTATATTAAACTGAGAAGTTCAAGTCAAAACCTGAACTCAGCTAATAGTCATTGTGTCACCAAGTGGTAACTGAGCTGAAATGAAGCATCAGTTTGTTCTTTGCTTTAATGCCTTCCAATTCTTGCTCCCCCCCCCCCATCATAATAAAGCTCAGTCGGTGGTTGAAAGGTTGGACAGCACCAGCTATAAAAGCTGGTGTCTCTTGCAGCTAGCCACTTTTCTGTTCCAAACCTAAAATAAACTGTTTTCCTGCAATCCTACCCCATCAGATCTTCAGGGTAATTCAGTGCTACAACCTTTTCACTATTATCTCAGTATGCAGGGTGTGAAATTATGGTTTTAAGTTACAGGAACACAGATTCCAGTTAAATGGGAGGAAAAGCCTTTGATTAGTAAAAAAAAAAAGGGGGAGGGGGGTTTCCAGTGGGAAGGGCACACTTTCTTGGTTATATTCAAGCAATGTCTTAGATAGACACCTGTCAAGGATTAGTAATGTAGATCCCTGCATTCAGTAGAGAGTTAAATGTGATGGCTGAAAAGGAAAATATTTGTAGCCCAGGGTTGAAATGAGGGATCCTTGGTGTTCTCTGAGCTTGGTTGCTTTCTTGCAGATGTTTCACTACCCAAGCTAGGTAATATTATCAGTGCTAGTCTGATGATGTTACTTAGTTATCTGGTGATGTTACTTGATGACTAGAATTGATGACGTTGGTTAGTTTGGGGGTAGTGAAATGTCTGTGAGAAAACAAGCAAGCTCAGAGAATGTTGAACCAAAATGTGCCTTGAAATTTTTCTGGTGTTTGCATGCAATTTCCATTTTTCTGCTAGTTTGGGGTGATGAAATGTCTGCAAGAAAACAACCAAGCTCAGAGACCACCAAGGACCCCTCATGTTAACCCTGAGCTACAAATATTCTCCTTTATTGAAAAGCCTGCTTCCAATAGTGACTCTTGATGTTGTAACAAAATGTCCCTTGACATTTTTCTGGTGTTTGCATGCAATTTCTCTTTTGTTGCCTTATTATCAGGTTGCTTGAGAATTTCTTTTTAATTTCTGTTGCTGCTGTCTTTTTAAAATTTATGTTATTGTGGGAAGTAGGGGAGGGTACATCTGGTCTTCTCATATTTTTAAAATCAAAACATATAAAAAGTTAGAAGCCTTGGAAAGCCAGGAGTGTACCAAGGGAGCTATTTGTAGGCATTTCAATGTCTCTGATTTGTAGAATAGAGAATGAGTCAGTTTAGTTTAGTGGTTAAGGCACCAGGCTAGAAATTGGAAGACCATGAGTTCAAATCCTGCTTTAGCCGTGAAGAGCAGCTGGACTTTCATTGTCTTTCAGTCCAAGCCACCTGACAGGATTGTTGTTGTGAGGAAAAAAGGAGGAAAAAAGTATGTTGGATACAGTAGGTTTGCTGCTTTGAGTTATTTGTAAAAATAATTGTTAAATATTCAATGATGCCTCATTAATATTCATGTGCATAATATGTAGAGTGGAGTCTGATGTCATTGGCCCAGCCACTGGCAGGAATAATAAAGCTCAGTCAGTGGTTGAAATGTTGGACAGCACCAGCTATAAAAGCTGGTGTCTGTTGCAGCTAGCCGCTTTTCTGTTCCAAACCTAAAATAAACTGTTTTCCTGCAATCCTATGGTCCTGCCTCTTCCTTCAGCACACCTACTTAACAATAATAAAAGTGGGAAATAAACATATAAATTGCTTTATGTTATGCATCTTTCTAAATCTAAAACTGTTCCCATATTTTCTCTTGCATTAAATTGCATGAGAACTGGTAGGGAAAAAATAAAGAGTTGCTCTTAGTGCCATTAATTAAGTTAGAAAGAATTTTAAGTTCAATCGGATATATTTCTAGATAAGAAAAACTCTTTTGGTCAGAACCTTCCAGATAATCTTGTAAGGCTAGAATTTCAAGCCTGGACATTGTGCTTCTACCCTTTTAAATGCTCTGTGAATTGTATACTTTTCAAAAGAAAAATAATCCCGGAGATAGCAAAGATAAGTAGCTGTACTTTTTAAATCTATCTTTTGTCTTGAGGGAATCAGCAAGTTATGTTTCAAACTGATGAGTTACATGTGGATCTTTGGAAGCACAGCTACCTGTGCTATATGTGAAAAATTGCCATTCTTCTTCTTGTTGTCATATATTGATTTAACCTGTTAAAGAAGGATACTGTCTCTTTTTTCAATTGAAATTTTCAGAGAATTTCCCCCCCCCCCACCGATAAAAAAACAAAAGCAAATAAATTAATCTACATACTTATCCTGGTTTCTGAATGTTCTCATTGTAGTACATCGAATGATAAATTAACCAAGTAGCCATCTAATTTGAATTAAGAATTAATATTAAATCTAATTTAGGATGCAGATTGTTTGAATATTGCTGCTAAGTTTGTAACTGACCTAGTTAAAAGTACTGAGTGTCATCACATAGGCCATTTACATGCATTACAGGACATGGTTCTTGGCATCCTGGTCTTGAAAATGCCATATAGTGTCAGATATTTTTAATGTAGATTAGATGGGACAACTGCAGAAGATAAAGGAGGTCTCCTGTCGATCCTAAAATATGCTGAAACCAAGACAGATGGGATCCTTTTGTGATAATTCTTAGGTAGTTCTGAATTCCTTCTCTAAGGATTTTTTGCTTGATGCCTGAGTCCATACTCTAACCTCCAGAAAGAATGAAAATAACAAACTCAAAAAGTAACACCATGAATCCAGCAAAAACCTCAAGGCTGCAAACCAGAGGTGGTATTCAGTAGGTTCTGACCGGTTCTGGAGAACCGGTAGTGGAAATTTTGAGTAGTTTGGAGAACCAGCAAATAGCACCTCTGACTGGCCTGCCTTCATCTAGTCTCTGCCTCCTGAGTCCCAGCTGATCAACTGGGTCTTCTTTTGTTGCCCTGCACAGGAGAACGGAGCTGCAAAGCAGGTTAGTGGGGTAGAGGGGAATGGGATTTTGCAGTAACCTTCCCCTGGAGTGGGGTGGGAATGGAGATTTTACAGTATCTTTCCCCTGCCATGCCCACCAAGCCACACCCACAGAACCAATAGTAAAAAAAAAAAAAATTGAATCCCACCACTGCTGCAAACACTGCACAGAGTTCGCTAAGCTTGCCTACAATCTTGGTGTAGTTCCCCAGTAAACTTTTTCATTGTTGGTTTCAAGAACCAGAAACATTGATGTGCCTACAAACAGCTCTTTTGGTCCCCTTCTGGCTTCCTAAGGCTTCTAATTTTTTACATTAACCCATTTTTTAATTTAGAAAATATGAGACGATTGTGCCAAAGAAACATTCTAGCCTCCCACATACTCTCTTTTCAAAAGTGCCTTTTGATGTTGGGTGGATTTCATAGATTTTTTTAAAAAAAGAAAGTCACAGTGATGGATAGTTTCAACAAGTGCTGTGTTTGGAACTGTGTCCACCTACTCCAGAGAAGGGACAGGCTGATAAGAAAAGAGCATTCTGGGGGCAGCAAGTTCAATTTGAACTTTGTTATGAGTTAGCAAAGTGTGAAGTGTGGTAGAATTATGCTACACAGCCTCAAGCTGCTGGTGATAGGTTATTAGACAACCTATGTGGCTGTGCAGCCAAACCCTGCAACCTCATCATTCTTCCAATATATGTGGAGGGTTGTGTGAATCCTTCCCCAGGCTAAGGCTAAATAATTCTTTCTGAATGGTATGACTGGATGGCAGAAAATAGATTTCTTAATGATTTTCAGTCATAATCAATTATATCTGGCTCCATACTGTTTAGCAATAGCAGTAATTCCCCTTACTCCATATACTGCTCAAATTAAGACATAAGAACCTAGCAGAAAATATCTCTCTCTGTTGAAAAATCAAAACTAAAAAGAAGAATTCTAGATGAAGCAAAATAAGCTGCAACATAGGAATGGAAACTTGAAAATCTCCTTTCCCACTATTAGTACAGAAAATCATACAGTCTTAACTGAACATGTGACTTGTGCTGAAGTGAGAAAGAATTCCCAATTTAATGAAGGTCTGCTTTATCTCTTTTCATGAAAACTATATACAATGTCTTAGGACTCCTGGTATTTTCATCATTCTTAGATTGCAAAATAACAAAGAATTTACATTTTCAAATATTCACCGTGTGGAATTTCTTTACTTGGTAAGCAGAGAGACTGTCCAGGATGATTTATTCAGTATTGTTGGCTTCTGATAAACAATAGTCATACAAGACCTTGAATAAAATTCTTCCTTGGTTTCCAACAAAAGATGTTAAGAACCTGATCCTCAGAACCTAAGAACCTGAAATAAAAACTTTATAGCCAGAAATGTACAAATACAGTGTTTGTCTGTGTTAGGAAAGATGGAAAAACTGAAATGATATAGGGTCTCCTGCTTGAATAAGGGGTTATACTAGTAGACTTTCAAGATCCCTTCCAACTCTATTCTGATTGATTGATTGATTGACTCAAGAATTCCTGGAAGCAGCTTTCAGGAGAAAGTAGAATTCATCCCTGTTCATTCTGAAGTAGGGATTTTTTACTTAGGACCCTTCATCTTATTCCACATATTCTAAAGAGATGGTGCTACTCTATTGCAGTGTTTTTCAACCTCAGCAACTTTAAGCGGTGTGGACTTCAAATCCCAGAATTCCACAGCCAGCATGTTTCTGGGTTCTGGGAATTGAAGTCCACACAGCTTAGAGAAGCTGAAGTTTAGTTTAGTTTAGTTTAGTTTAGTTTAGTTTAGTTTAGTTTAGTTTACACATTTTTAAACCACCCATCTCACTCCGAGATGGGCAATGTACAAAAAGCATTAACATAAAAACAGTATATAAAAATTGTCAGAATGATCAAAAGATCTTCAAAAGGTCTTTAAAATGTCTTCTGCAGACACAACATAAGCCTAAGATTGAAAATCAGGCTTGTCAGATGCTACATCTTTTCTAGCCTGGTCTATGGAGTGGAGAGTTAGTCTCTGATAGAAAGCCACTTGAAGAGACTAGAAGCATTTGAAATGTGGATTTACAGGTGGCTGTTACATTGAGTTGTCAAAATCAGAAATGAGGAGGTGATAAGCTGCCTGGGAAAGCCAAGGGAAATCATCAAAACCATTAAAAAGCAAAAGTTAGAATATTTTGGACATGTGATGCAACACCCGAAAAAAATACAGCCTACTTCACTTAATCCTCCAGGGAAAGATTGAAGGCAAACGAGGTCCAGGCAGAAGAAGAACATCATGGCTTCAAAATCTAAGGGACTAGTTTAGACAAAACACAACAGCACTTTTTTTTTTCAAATTTTATTAATTTCAAAGACAAACAAATCATCATCAACCATTACATACTTGAACCTTTTTCCATTATAAATTTTACAAGTCAAATAAAACCTTATTTTATACAATATAATTCTATTTTAAACCATTTCCATATGAGCATACAAATACCTCTTATCCAATTTCTCTTTACTTCTCTTTACTCTTATTCAATTTCACTATTATTATTTCATCTATTTCTTTCTGACTTGGTTACCATTATTCTCATTCTGTATTTCTACAAGGTTTTATTAATTCTCCCAAAAACATAAACACACAACACACAAACATATAAAAAATCTTTTAGGAAAGTAACTTGGCTCCAGGTACCTCTCTCTACATGGACTTCAATTATATTCATGCTCATCTTACATATCATTACCTATTTTATTTACCATTCTATATCTTCTATATAAACTTCTCCACACATTTCACTCTTCTTAATTCTATCTTATTTAATCCATCTTAATTTAAATCATTGTATTTATATCTTTTGCCCATTCTTTATTATCCCTCTATCTCATTCCTTATAATAATAAAAAAAGAATTTCTCCTGAAATCACTAATCAGAGTATGATGCCTTTCTATCCTCCCCCTAAATTAATTAGATTAACATTTAAAATAACACCTAATACCCAATCTGATTCTTCTTGGTACATTCTATCTACTAATTTTTTTTAATAATAATAAAAACAAAATAAAATAATAAATCCAAAATGATTAAATACATAGTTAAATAATAAATCTAAATATTAAATCTTATAGCATTCCCATTGCCTTTTCCAAAAACAAATGCTACTATAATAGTTTTATAATAACATCAATACCATAGTCATATTAAACTCTTTAATTAAAACTCAATATTCTAAACATTCCCTTTAATATTTTATTAAATTTTAAAATCAATCATTATTAAACATTTCAACATTTTAATCTCTTATTAACTCTTAAACCATTCTAATTTTCTATTTCTAATACAAATGCTACAATACCATCTTATGTACCTTGCAAAATCTTTTTTAAAGAAATTGTACTTTACCCTTTGTCCCTAAAAAAAATCCCTCTTTTCCCATCTAATTTCAAAACTTTGTGGCTTTTCTCCGCCTTTTCCCTTTCTTTCTTCCCCCACCAAACCTTCCTACCCCCCCCCTTCTTCTAGCCTCTGCCTTGCTGGCATCCCTTCTCTGTTGTGTTCTCTTTTTCTTTTGTTTACTATCATTATATTTATTTTGCACCTTATTTTTCTCTTTCTTGAATGTTTTTTTAAATCTTAAGTCCTTCATTTTCCTTCCTTTCTTCCTTCCTTCTTTCTTAGTTAAATTTTGAAATTCATTAAAGATGGCTTCTTCGTCTTCTTCTTCTTGTTGTTCTTCTGCCTCCATCTGTTGTATTGTTTGTTGATAGTTAACCAGCGCCATTTCTAAAAAAAGGAAGGCTTCTTTCATACCATCTTTACCGTCTGTTTTTGTTTGCTCATATTCTTCCCTCAGTTCCTCAACAAAAAAAGCCATTATAAATCTTTTCTTTTCTTTTCTTTTTTCCCTCTTTCTTCTTGCACCAACCAAGATATTTAAAAAAAAAAAAATAGAACAATCCCAAAGTCCTCAATCAATCCAAGCCAAGACAAAGTTCTCCCTTTCTCTTCCTGGGGTAGTATCAATCAAAAAAAAGAAAATCCAAATCTGTATTTTAAAGCCTTATTAGAATTATATTTCTGTCTTCAAATCCTTAAGGCATCTCCTCCAACAAAATCATAACATTTGAATATATTCTTTGTCCTCTCCCTTCCGACTTATCACATAAAGCTAGTTTTACCTGAAAAAAACAGGTTTCTCAATGTCCACTTATTAATTCCGTCGGGAGGGAGAATAAACTTTCCTTTCAGCACCTCAAAATTGCCGCTTATTTTCTCTTGTGGAAAGAATCATTCAAAAAGCCATAATTTCCAGGAATTGTATTAAATGTATCTTAGAGTCCTGGGTCAACCAAGAAAACTTTCACTCTCAAAGGCTTTCTCCTCTTCCTCCTGCGCATTCTTACCCAGCTGCCGGCTTCTTTGTGGCGGCCATTGCAGACCGCCGCTGCACCATCTTGGGAAAAGGGGGTTCTGCCGGCTGGGGAGGGGGTCTGCAACACCCCCAAACCCCTCTCCGGATCCCCCCTATCTTCAGCTACCCCTGCAGGGTAGCCTAGCTCCGAACCCATCCGGATCGGAGCACCAAAAACGGCTAGCGCAGCAGGGATCGCGCAGAGTCGCAAATCCCTGCCGCTCGCGAAGCCGACAAACCGGAAATGTCCACAACAACAGCACTTTTTTGTGCGGCTGTTGATAGAAATAGGATTGGTACTTACCACCTGCTAGATTAGCAAAAATGTTCCCAAACAGATCATCCAAATGTTGGAAATGCAAACAAAAGCAAGGAACATATTACCATGAGTGGTGGACATGCCCTGTAGTGAGAAAATATTGGATAAGGACAAAAAAATGGATAGAAGAAATAAACAGGTAATTGAATTAAGACTGGAAACTTTTCTATTAGGCATAATAATGGGAAAATATGATAAGAAAACAGAGTATTTAATGCTACATTTATTAATGGCAGCAAAAATAACTTATAACTTATGTACAGAAGAAATGGAAAAATGATAGTATGCCACCAGAGGAAAATGTGATAAGAAAAATACTAGAGTGTGCCAAGATGGATAAGTTGACCATGGAAATAAAGGAAAGAGAAGAAACAGATTATTATTTGACATGGAATGTACTGTGTGATTGGCTAAATAATGGATATAGAGTTGAATAGAGAAGACAATAAGACAATAAGGTAAAAAATATAGTGGACAAAGATAGATTAAGCAACATAGACAGGTGTATAGATAGTTAAGATTTATGTAAAAGTATGTATACCATCATGAAAGTGTTGTAATGAATGGAAATGATGTATATAAGAAAAATTGTTTAATAAAAATTATTTAAAAAAATAAAAGAAATAGGATCACCAATATGATCTCCAATGTCCAATGATGGATAAGGCACAACAACAAGAAGAAGATATAAAAAATAAAATTTTAGAGGAAGGCAAGGATAATTAAACATTGTTAAAATTAAAAGGAGAAGGGAAGGCTGTCAGGGTACCAGCCAACCCCATGGCTGTGTGCTCCTCTGTGCTCCCCAAGAGGAGCATAGCCATGTTTTGATTCCTTTTCGGAATACCAGGAGAATGGGGGCTTTCCTCACCTCCGGGAGGAAGAGAATTCTATCTTATTGGAATAGAATAGAATAGAATTCTTTATTGGCCAAGTGTGATTGGATACACAAGGAATTTGTCTTGATGCAAATGCTCTCAGTGTACATAAAAGAAAAGATACATTTGTCAAGAGTCAAGAATCATAAGGTACAACACTTAATATTAGTCATAGGGTACAATAAGCAATCAAATCATACTAGGAAACAGTCAATATAAATCATAAGGATGCAAGCGACAAAGTTACAGTCATACAGTCTCAAGTGGGAGGGGATGTTGTGGTTAGCTGGCAGCAGGTGCAGACGGCTGTGTCTCTGAGAGTGAGGAGCCTGTGTGTGATACAGGGATGGGGCCAGAACTATTGGAGAGTGGGGTGCTGCCTTTGGAGTTTGTGGAGTCTGGCAGCAATGATGCAGAGGACCCTGAGGAGCCTGTGCCCAGTGCACATGCATGCAGGGCTGCTCAAAGGAAAGAGCAGATGCAGCAGCATGGGCAACTTGGAAGTAAGGCTGCAAGGTAATGGCCCCTCCCATAAGGGATAAAAGCTAGCCCTCAGGGTTGGATTCTTTGCAGGAAGCAAATAAGTTCTTTCAACTCCAAGTTCTTGTGGAAATCGTGTCTATTCTAGTTTGTTTTTGGAGACTTTTGGTTTTGGATATTTCCCTGCAATTAATCTTGTGTTCTTGGGAGCCTTGCTCTTATCTGGGACAATTAGTTTTAATGACTCTTTGTTATGAATGAACAGAATTCACAGAGATGCATTTTATATATACTTTGTGTTTATTTGATTTGAACGAGGCTTGGGTCAGAACAGGGGATGGGTGATAAGGAGTGATGAGAAGATTAATAGTAATAGTAATGCAGACTTTGTAAATAGTTAGTGCGTTGAGGGAATTATTTGTTTAGCAGAGTGATGGCATTCGGGAAAAACCTGTCCTTGTGTCTAGTTGTTCTGGTGTGCAGTGCTCTGTAGTGTCATTTTGAGAGTAGGAGTTGAAACAGTTTATGTCCAGGATGTGAGGCGTCTGTAAATATTTTCACAGCCCTCTTTTTGAGTTGCTCTGTGAAATTGATTTCACTTCCCCATTCCATAAACATTCACTCCCTACTTTGAAAGAGCCACAAGTTACAGCAAGGGCTATTTTTCATGGTCCTGAACTTCCAAGAAACCAAACCTGAGCCACATACTTAGGATCTTAGACTTTCACACCCTAAGCTTCCTTCTATCAACTCTTCCCACATCATTTTTTCCCCTTGCTTGGACAGCAGACTCCCTGACAAAGTAGAATACCAAGCTATTAAACTAAAAGATGGGGTGGGGGGTGGGGAGCCAATGGATTAAGATAAACACTTTCCTCACCGCCTCAATCCTTGTAACTCACAGTGTATGAAGTTAAATGCTGAATTATTTGCTCTTCCTTATGAGAAACTGAACTGCTTTGAAATCACACAAGCTGTCAGACATTTCTCTGTGTGATTGGAATCCCCACCTACACCTGTCACTTAGACTTTTCTCTGAGCCTTCAATTAGTCATATTTTGTTGAATATGTATAAGAACTGCTGGTGGGATGGGGTGGGATGCTAATTATTCATTATTCCTACAGGTCAGTTTTAAGTGTAACTGAACCTGAACGTTAGCCCTGCAGTTGTAATGATTTTCAAATGATCATAGTCTTTTCGGTAATGATAACTGCCTACCTCCACCTCAGCAAGGAGTAAAAGTAAACAACAGTATAATATTAATAAGATGGGAGAACCAGATTCTTCATAATCAGTGCTGAAACTCACTGTATCAACCCAACCTCTTATGAGAGAAGTTGTTTGTACAAGCACAAACACACTGCAGCAAACCTGAACATCGGAGATAGGAAATACCTCATCTGCACACAACATTATCCAACAAAATGGATATTTGCACAAGTTCATCAAAAAGTGTCTGGCCACTCAACTAAAAGCTATGAAAAGGATAGCACTTCCATTCATCAAGAACACCTCAGAAATCACCGACAGACTATTGCAACCATATGGCATCAGTGTAGCACACATACTAATTAAAGCCCTCCAAAACATTTTAAGTAAACCAAAAGACCCAGCAACCCCAGAAGAAAAAACAGGAGTCATTGACAACACACAGTGTAAGGACTGCAAAAGGCACTATATAAGACAAACAGGCAAGAGACTCGCAGAGCACATCCATGAACACCAACTAGCAGTCAGAAGACATGATGAAAACTCCTTAATTTCACAACACATGAGCAGACTTAACTGTAGTCTGGGAAACTGTGGAAACTGTGACCATCCTAGACTAAGCCAGGCTAAAAATGCTAGAGAATTCCTGGAAGCTTGGAATTCTGACAAATCAGCCATCAACAAGCACATAGACATAAACAACATTTACATACCATTCAAAGGGGACAATCAACATGGAAAATCACCTTCCCATCAATAATCAACATTGAGATGAGCAGAGATTTACACCAAAGTTAACATCAGCCCAACAAATAAAAAGTAAATCAAAGAACTGCCTAACAAGTTAACAGCTAAACAGCTCACCCAAAGAACCACCAAGATCACTCCCACCAAAAATGACAGGAAGCCACTAGAACTGTGATGGTGAACCTATGCCATGAGTGCCAGAGGTGGCACACAGAGGACTCTCTGTGGGTATGCATGCCATCACCAGCTGCTCTTCTGGTTTCCAGTGTGCGCATATGCACCGGCCAGTTGATCTTCAGTTTCCAGCATGCGTGAAGACTAGCTGCCTGGCAAGTGCAGGCGCACCGGCCATCTGGTCTTTGTCAGAGTATGTTCCAGAAATCACATCTAGAAAGCGCACACAGATAACTGATTCAGCAGGATTCATTAACTTCTTTATATACATAATAACACATGAAGTAAATTTACAATACCAACAGCAGATTCTTCCAACGTGCTAGCAGTTACAGGCAAAAACACAAGCAGAGGAGAGAACAGCAGAGAACAGTTTCAGTTTTGATTCAGAGTTGCAGACAAGTTTGCAGCTTCAGAGCTCAGAGCTTAATGCAGAGCCACACCCAGGCTCCTTCCAGTTTCAGTATCCAAACAGTCCTCATTGGCTGACTTAGTTGCTATGCCTATTCATTGGCTAACCTTGTTACTATGCCACTGCCAGTTCATGAATATTCTGACAGTCTTCAGGTTTACAGCACTCAGGAATGCATGAAGACCACCTGGCCAGCATGCACATGTGCACTGGTGATCTGGTCTTCAGTTTCTGGCACTCCAGTGCACATGTACATGTGCATGCATGCATGTATTCCAGTTTAGGCCCTTGGTGCCGAAAAGGTTTGCCATCACTGCACTAGAATATGCAAGGAAAGGAAATCCCGCTCCCTCCTAGCATCTATAATGTTACCCTGTTTGGGTAATGAAATGTCTGCAAGAAAATAACCAAACTCAGAAGCATCAAGGATCCTTCATTTCATCCCTGAGCTTACAAGTATTCTCCTCTATTAAATGTGTTTTCATTTGATATAACCATATAATATATTACCATGACAAATCTGCAGTTAATATCCACAAACTGAATTGTGATCTTCATGTTGTGTACTGAAACCTCCAGAAACCCTGACAATTTCACATCTTTGCAAATCCAAGTGGGTCTCAAACAGAAGATTTCTAAGCTTACAGGTCACATATAAGACTGTAACCTATGATTGGTGAGCCGACCTGATGGATTTAAAATTGTTCTGAGATCGTTTGTATTGTTCCAAACGGTATTAGCAATCTTGACTTCAAAGTCTCCCAGGCAGACTATTAATCTTCACCTTTCGGAAGACTGCAACTCATTTCAGAAGAGTCTATATGCCATTCACTGGAGCCAACTGGTTCACTAAAGTGAATCACAATTTATTGGCTCAAAATCACACTCAGGCACTGGTTCAAATTTTCTGGACAACCTAACAGAGCTTAGTACATTTTCTACTTTGACTCTCATCCTGAATTGCAATAGCAGTAGCATTTAGGCTTACACTCCATCCCACAGAACTCTTTATGGTTTATAATGTAAGCATTATTTGCACATTTGCCCTCAGCAATTTGGCTTCTTATTTCACTAACTTCAGAAGGATGGAAGGCTGAGTCAACCTTGAGTCCCCTCAGGATCAAACTCCAGACTGTGGTTGGTTTGCCTGCAATAATGCAATTTAACCACTGCACCACCAGGGCTCTTCGGGATTCAACATGAATCAGAATGCATTATATTTTCTGGACAGTGAGAAAGTTTGAATACAAGCCTTGTGATTTCTCATGATTCTCTCCTAGATTTCTCAGGAAGCCACCTGAGAAATCCTTATATTCAGGGGTGAATTCTACCAGTTCACACCTATTTGCTAGAACCGGTTGTTAACTGTTTAAGCAGTTTGGAGAACCAGTTGTTAGAAGAAATCTCCTTTTTCTTTTTCCACTTTACAAGCCCTGGTGTTGTTGCTTACAAAAAGTGCCTCTCCGTTAACCCTTATTACATTCTTAGCAGGACTAGACTTCCTGTTTCCAGAGCTTCTCTGGATTTTTTTTTTCCTTTGCTGGTACTTTGCTTGTGTAAAGCCTGAAATTGACATATGTGTAGCCATTTCATTTGGAAACCTGAAACCTTGATTTTCTTAAATGGGAAGGATTGTTTTCAGCTTTTTACACTGCTGTTGGGAGGACATACTCCCCTGTTGGAGTTAGCACTTTGAAGAAATTGAATAATGAAACAGAGCTGCCAGAAAGAAGCTTTTAATGACAAGGAACCAAGATGAGTGACATTCAGCAAGGTTTCTTGGCTAGCTAGAAAGATTGACATTCAAACATGAGTTTACATACCCTTTCTGAGTTTTGGTCTAAAACTGGTTTTTGGTGAAGTTTAATTCTGTGCTTGGTGACGTTTAATCCTGTGTTTGTTGATGGGATAATTTTCTCTATTCAGCTTTGTTTGGAAGGAGAAAGGTTAATATCTGTTCCTGAAAAGAAACTGGGTTGGCTAGTTCCTGTGTCTATTTGTTCTGATAATCAGTTTAACAAGCAACAGCTACTATTGTGATTTAATTATTTCTATTGTGTTTGAATTTTTTCCTGCCTCATGGTTTCTTTTTCTATCTTGGGAGCGGCTCTTCCTTCACTGCTTTAGTGGTATCTGGCACTGTCCTTTTGGGGTGTACTTCCAAGAGGCAGGATGCAAGATTGGCACTGATTTTTTTACTATCTTTCTGGGGGGCATATGATCTTTCCTTAAATCTGGATGATTTCCTTAGGATATCTTGTGAGGTGAGACCAACTGTTATCTTTAAATGGTGCAAATGGATCTAAGGATTGCTTCTCCTGGGTATGCTCTTTCTGGAGAGCTGAAATGACCTCTCTGCTAAAGGGTTTCACTTTATGAAAGTTGAAGAGTTGGCTGCTGATAATTACTGCATTTTAACTATTTTCATTCCTTAAGGTAACTCTGGCTTGCAGGTGTTTTTAATCTAATAATTGGTATTTAGGACAGCTTTTTGCAAGCAAAGAAGCTTTTTGTATTTTTGTACAGGTAATCCTTGACTTACAATAGTTCATTTAGTGACCATTCAAAGTTACAATGGCACTGAAAAAAGTTACTTATTACCGTTTTTCATACTTACGCCAATTGCAGCATCCCCACAGTCACAAGATGCCAGGTGAGGAGAAGTGCCCCTCGATGTGAGTGATGTAAAATTGGCCATGTCAACCCAGTCACATGACCACCAAGCCATGCCTACCAACTAAGCCACGCCTACATATCTGGTTGTTAAAAAATTTGAATCCCACCCCTGCTTATATTGATTTTCTTTCCATGCAACTGTTGATGGCAAAGTTCATGAAAGAGTCCTCCGTGATTGATGCCAACAGTGGCAGCCCAGAGTCATTTCCTTCTTTCATTTTTGGTTGGTAAACTGCATTTATTTAAAATGCTTTAATGATGTTAATTATTTTTGTTGGCACACCATGACATTTCAAGATATTTTATAATGACTCATGAAAGAGACTGCTGTGTGCTTTATAAAAGCTAAGAATCGGCTGATATTTTTCACTGGGCACTTGGATGTTTTAAGGGCATTAGATTCCAATTTTCTGTGACAAAGTGACATATATTTTCTGGAATTCTGCAATGTTTTAATAAACTATTGCTTATAATTCACTACTTGCCAGCTTTACACAATGTGTTCTAGGTGGTACAATCACAGCAGTGGTGGAATTCAATTTTTTTTTACTACCGGTTCTAAGGGTGTGGCTTGGTTGCCATGGCAGGGGAAGGATACTGTAAAATCTCCAGTCAGAGGTATATGCCAGTTCCCTGAACTACTCAAAATTTCTGCTACTGATTCTCCAGAACTGGTCAGAACCTGATGAATACCATCTCTGAATCACAGATTATATGCTAACCACAGCACAGTTGCTATGGACAGCCTCTGGGCCTCACATAAATCTTATATTGATTTTATATAATGGTGTCTACAGGGAAGGGTTCAAACAAGTTAAGATGGCATGCGCAACCATGGAATTGAAATCCCATTCTTTTTTATGGAGATCATTTTAGCTCTAAAAGAGTTGGGGTTTTATTGCATGTTGTACTACCATCTTGGCTTTTTGGACCACCTCCCTGTAGATACCCCTGATTTTCAGTTGAGGATTTGCTCAATATTGAATTTCGGTGGCAAAAGATTAATTTATGACAGTGAAATTTTTTTGATAGTTTTGGATGATCTCTGTCTGTCTGTCTGTCTCTCTGTCTCTCTGTCTCTCCATCTCTGTCTCTCTATCTCTCTCTCTCTCATAACACACACACACACACACACACCGAAGTGTGTGGGCTCAAAGTGTCTACCCTTCTCCTATGATGGCAATTTGCCATACTTGCTGCAGAGCACAAATACACTAGCCACAAATTGGAAGTAGATTGCAAATTATGGAAGCAACAACATTTTGTGTGTGTGAGACATATGCATAATTATACATAATATTCTTTAATCATGAGACTGACTTCCAAAGCATACATGAGGCACATCTGTCATTTCAGATGTTCCATATTTGGGATATAGATTATTCCTCTGCTTTTAAGCTTTCCACTACTCCTACTGATAGCCTATATATTTCTCCTTATAGGCCTTGATCATGTTGTGATTCTTAGTGTCAGAATCTACATCATAGCTTTGTGAAACACATTTTCTCCATAGCAGGAGAAATAATATTCATGAGGACTCCAGCAAGGTGTTTATCATATCTATTTTGTGGTATTGGTGCTCTCATACTGGCATCTTAAGAACTGACCTTAAATTCTCAGTTTAGCAAAGTATGATCACCTTTTCGAAATTCTGCGTAAGCAGTGTTTTATGAAAAAAAAGACAGGTAAAAGTGTATAAGAGAGCCTTGGTGGTGCAGTGGTTAGAGTGCAGTACTGCAAGCTATTTCTGCTGACTGCCGATTGCCTGCAGTTTGGCAGATCGAATCTCACCAGGCTCAAGGCCTTCCATCCTTCTGAGGTGGGTAAAATGAGGACTCAGATTGTTGGGGGCAATAGGCTGACTCTGTAAACCACTTAGAGAGGGCTGCAAAGCACTATAAAGTGGTATATAAGTCTAAGTGCTATTACTATTGCTATAAATTTCATCTAACAGCCGAAGTGTATTAATGGCATATGATTTATAACAGGTGTTGCCAGGGCATCAGAAGATATGACTTGGGTGGGTGGGAGTTTTGGAGACAAATTTGTAATTTTAAAAGCATGTCAAAAGTTGTTTTGATGGGCCAGGCCTGTTATAGAACATATTTACCAGAAGACTGATTGATGAAGTGGCTCCCTAAATCTTTTCCATTGCTTATACTTAGCTGAGAATTTTCTTGGCAATTTCAGTTTACCTTGAAGTTGGTAGGTATTCATACCTGCAAATGAACTCCTGAATTGTACTTGCTCTCCCCCACCCCCTGCTCTCTTTCTCTCTCATCTAGAGAAAGAGAGAAGGGTATACATGCACCACACACACACACATACAAACACACATCTGTGGTGTGTGTGTGTGTGTGTTTGTGTGTGTATAAAAGGTAAAGGTTCCCCTCACACATATATGCTAGTCATTTCCAGCTCTCAAGGGCAGTGCTCATCAGTGCTGTTACAAAGCCGAAGAGCCAGCGCTGTACGAAGACATCTCCATATGGCTGGCATGACTAAATGCCGAAGGTGCACAGAACGGTGTTACCTTCCCACCAAAGTGGTCCCTATTTTTCTACTTGCACTTTTACATGCTTTCGAACAACTAGGTTGTCAGAACCTGGGGCAAGAAACGGGAGCTCACTCTGTTATGCGGTGCTAAGGATTCGAACCACTGAACTGCTGACCTTTCTGATTGACAAGCTCAGTGTCTTAGCCACTGAGCCACTGCATCCCTGTGGGGGGATATATATATATAGTATTCAGCTTTGTTCGGGTATTTTCCCAC